GATTAGTCATGATAACAGTTATTCACTATTGAATCTTATGAATCTTATCCCCATTTCCTTTCACTAGACCCATCCAGACAAGATGATAGCTATTCAGTGGGGACTTTTTCTTTCCCCCCACACTTTTAAACTAAGCTCCCTCTTGAAACCTTGTAAGCCAGTCACTTCGTGCCTTTATTGTCCCCTCATTTTAGATAGCCAATGTCTAAGTTACCCATACCTATCTACCCTGTGTACAGAGCAGATAGCATAGATACTTGATTTGAAGACTCTTTCCCTCTCTGTTGTTATTTATAGTAACTACCGCTCTGAGTATAGGTCAGGTTCATCATGAAGATGTATCTTCTGTCACTGTAGCTGTTCCAGTCTGCTTGTCCTTTCTAGTGGGAATGTCTTACCTCCCAAGGTTGTGGATGGGACTCAGGATTCCACCTAAGGTCCTACACTCTGTAAGGCTTTGCATGAGGCCTATTTCACTGGGCAAGTTTTAGAACCCCTTTTAGGTATTCCAATCAGTCATAGGCTGAAGGCGGGCTTACAAGTTTTCTCTAATCATGTTTCTCAACATTCCAGAATGGAGGTGCACAGACAGCAAGGGACCAATGAACAGCTACCAAAAGAGAAGAATGTCCACACCTTTATCTCAGCGGTTCTGCCAGGTGTCTGTGGCCGCTCTGATACTTACCCCGCTTGGTCTCACCCAAGATGGCGGCTCCTGGAGCAGCTGAGCGTCCCAGACTAGAAAGCAATAGATTTCTTGCTTCTGCCACAAATTCCCTCAGATGTAAGCCTTCCAACCTTCTAAATATTCCTTTATATGTGGTTCAGAGTTCTGGGACCATCACCTGAGCCTGCTTGGTCGGGTATTCTGTGTTGTTTTTGGCGGAGCTCTTTACTACACGTCCACCCGATCCACCATCTTGTTTGTTCTCCCATTCCATATTCTTTCTGTGCTTTCTGCATTATTCAGTATTTTGCACATTGTTGTTGTTGTTAGGTGCTATGGAGTCGGCACCAACTCATAGCGACCTTATGCACAGCAGAACGAAACAATGTCCGATCCTGGGCCAGCCTCACTAGTGTTGCCACACTTGAGTCCATTGATGCTACCACCTGGCCAATCCATTTCGTTGGGGGTCTTCCTCTTTGTCTCTGACCCTCCATCTTACCAAGCATGATATCCTTCTCTAGCGACTGTTCCCTCCTGACAATATGTCCAAAGTATGAGAGACAAAGTTTGGCCATCTTGTCCTCTAAGGAGCACTCTGGCTGTACTTCTTCCAAAACAGATCCATTGGTTCTTTTGGCAGCCCATGGCACTTTTAGTATTCTCCTCCAACACCATAATTCAAAGGCATCAATTCTTCTATGATCTTCCTCATTCAATGTCCAGCTTTCGCATCCATATGAGGTTATTGAAAATGCCATGGCTTGGGTCAGACACACCTTAGTCCTCTAGCTCTTCAACACTTTAAAAAGTTCCTGTGCTGCAGATTTGCCTAATGCCCATAGAATCCTTTAATACTGCAAGTTGAGGCTTGAATTTTTTCTTCAGTTACCTCAGCTTGAGGAATGCTGAGCATGTTTAATGTAGGTGATGTGGTGGTGATGCGCTGTGGATTCGGTTACAACTCATAGTGACTCTGCATAGAGTTTCTGAGGCTATAAATCTTTATGGGAGCAGAAAGCTTCATCTTTCTCCTGAAAAACAGCTGGAAGTTTTGAACTGCTGACCTTGATGTTAGCAGCCCGACTCGTAACCACTATGCTACCAGAACATGTTTAACATTGTTGTTAAGTGCTGTTGAGTTGATTCCGACCCATAGCAACCCTGTGTAGGGTTTCCAAGGAGCAGCTAGTTAGCTTGAACTGCCAACCTTGCAGTTCAAACTGACTTTACAGTCCAACACATTAATGCACCATGCAATAGGGGCCCCTAAACTAGCATTCAACACCAACAAAGCTAGCATCCAGGGTCATTTGAACACTTCTCTGTGGCAATGACATTCGTGCTGAAACTGAAGAATTGCACCTCCCATTGAGTTTATGTGCACACTTGTAATCCATCAGTAAATCCTTACTGGCTCTATGTTCAAACTATACATATTCAATATGTGACCTCCACTCACTGCCTCTATGCACCACGGTCTTCCTTCATCTAGTCTTCTGCAGACACCTCCTTACTGGTAACACTGCTTCTGCCCTTACCTACAATCTGTTTTCTACACAGCAACTTAAAAACAATGTGTATCAGATGTCATTCTCTCTCTCTCTTTTTTTAAACTCCTCAAAGGTGGACCATTGCCCTGAAGGTAAAGTTCAAATTCTTCATCCTGGCCTCCCAGATTCCATGTGACCTGGCACCACATCATCTGTGTAACCTCATCAGACAGCACACTGTGTCTCATTCATTTCACTTTACCTACACTAGTCTTCTTCCTGAGACATACCAGGCACCTTCTCACCTCAGCCCTTTACTGGTTGATTACATCTCCAGATATTCCTTTTTGCCTTCTTCTCTCCCAGCTAATCTTTATTCATCATTCACTTCTCAGCAAGATTTCCTCAGAGAGATCTTTTTCTGGTTACTACCCAACCCCACATTGGGTCTTAGATATTCAGAACCCATGTCATTGTTCTTAAATGATTATATTTGTACATTTCTTTGCCATCTCCCTCACCTGAATATAATATTCATGATGGCAGAAACTATGACTTCATGTATTCAAGAAATCATAGCATCTACTGAGGAGCTGTAGATACAACAGTAAACCAAATAAGCAAACCTAACTTCATGGCATTGCAATTTTAGAGGGGAAACAGTGAACCAAAAATAAGCAAACAAAAAAGTAAATTGTATATAATGTTAGATGGGGAAGTTCTGTAAAGAATAAAGTGGCAGAGTACTAGAAAGTGCAGTAAAGAGGATTCTTCAATGTTCAATATGATGTTGTTGCTAAGTGCCTTTGAGTTAGTTTCAATTCACAGCAACCCTATATAAAGTTTCTGAGGAGTGGCTGGTGGGTTTGAACAGCTGACCACGTGGTGAATTGGGTGAAAGATTACAGAACAAATCAGTTTTCCATTCAACAATTCATACATATTCTGTTTCATCTCATTGAATGCAATGCCTACTCCCTCCATGTGTTTCCTGTTTCCATTTTTACTTCTTTCCTAACCCTTCTGAACTTTGTCTTGGGGTAAATTCTGGCCTTTTGATCTCAAGTGATTGATTATTCTAAGGTGTATGTACCTCACTAATGTTATTGCTCCCATTATAGAACTGTCTATTTTTTGTTTGAAAATTGAGCCATGGGGGTGAGTTCATTTCCAGACTTGGAATGATGAATGAATGATGAATAAGAGCGATAGTCTTGGGGGTTTCACCAGTCTCTATCCAACCAGTAGTAAGCCTGGTAATTTTATGATAAGTTGAGTTTTGTTCTACATTTTTCTCCCACTCTATCCATGACCTTCTATTATGATTCTTTTGAGAGCAGTTGGTAGTGAAAACTGGGCACAATCTAGTTCTTCTGGTCTCAGAGTCGTGGAGAGTAATGCTCACATGGCCCATCATTCCATTGTACTAATTGTTTTATGTATCTTCAATTTTCATCACTCTTCTTTCCTCTATACAGAAAGAGATCAATAATGGCACCATAGTTGTCCATTCACAAACTTTTAAGACCCCAGTTGCTACTCACCAAAGTAGGATATACAACCTTGTCTTTGTAGGCTATGTTATGCCAATTTCTTTGGTGTCCCCTGAGACTATGGTCCTGAGAGCTAAGACCAAACAGCTCATTACCTCAAACTGCTTGGTCTTCATAGCTTTGCCCCCTGTCTGTTCTATCCCATTTATAAATGTGTTTGCAGCAAAAGTAAGTACCATTTGCAAATATCTTCTGTCAAACCTATAAATATATTTGTGGGTATATTACTCCTTCGATAGAATCCTTCTGTATTTCAAGCCAAGACTTGAAATTTTTCTTTAATTCTTTCAGTTTGAGAAATGCTGAGTATGAGTGTGTTCTTCTACTTTGGTTTTCTAACTCTAGCTCTTTAAATATTTCATTATAATATTTGATTTTGTCTTCTCAAGTTGCTGTTTGAAATTGATGCATTTGAGTTATGGTGTTGGGGGAGAATATTGAAGGTACCATGGACTGCCAGAAGAACAGAAAAATCTGTGTTGGAAGAAGCACAACCAGAATGCTCCTTAGCAGCCAGGATGGAGAGACTTCATCTCTCATACTTCAGACATATTAACAGGAAGGATTAGTCCCTGGAGAAGGACATCATACTTGGTAAAGTGGAGGGTCAGCAAAAAAGAGGAAGACCCCTCAACAAAACGGATTGGCACAGTGGCAGTAACAATGGGCTCATGCGTAGCAACAATTGTGAGATTGTCACAGGACTGGGCAATGTTTTATTCTGTTGTGCATAGGGTCACTATGCCTTCCCCTTCATTCAAGTAACAGGTGTGTTAATTTCTTCCCAACTTTAAAACAGTCAGCACCATCTGTTGAAGAGACTATCACCTCCCCATGTGATATATTTAGGTACTTTGTCAAAAATCAGTTAGCTGGGTTAATTTCTGGATTCTTGATTCTGTTCCATTGATCAATGTATCTTTCATTGTACCAGTACCAAGCTGTTTTGACCACTGCAGCCGTGTAGTAAATTTTGAAGTTGGGAGTGAGAGGTTTCCTACCTTATTCTTCTTCTTAAGTAGCGCTTTGCTTATCCTGGGTGTCTTTCCTTTCTATATAAAGTTTATAATTTGTCTCAGACATTTTATCTTTTTTCTGGACATGTGCTGATATCTGTGGCCTTAATACTTAATTGAGTATGTGTTTTGGTAATTTCTTATGCTTTCTGATTGCTTCCAGGAAGATGTGATCAGGATGTGAGCTTCCCTGTTCACTCTTCTTATTGCTTAATTCAGAGTAACTTTCACAGGCGTTGTCTGTTTCCCCGGTATATGGCAGTTGGCATTGGTTCTTGCCTGGGTTTTGGTGTTTTATAGAGTGTGATCATAGCCTGGATATATGGCAGCAGTTGCTGACTCTTTTTGTGTGTTATAGGGAGACAAAGAGTCCTCCAAACCAGAAGAGTGGGCATATAACAGCCAAACAGCACCAGCGGGAAAAAACAAGAGAAAGAAAGAAAGAAAAAGATTAAAAAACAGCAACAACCAAAACTAGACTGAATACTGCAGTCGCTAATCACAGAAAATGGAGAGGAGGGAGAGAAGAAAAACAAAGAAAGAAATCTGTAGCCTAATATGAGTATGACTTTAATGTCCTCTCTTCAGCTTCTTGCTTTCAAAGCTGCCTGAGAGATTTCAAGATGCCGGTGTTGGTTGTTATGCTATACCTCAGGCTTTAATTTAATTTTCAGCCTGTTTTGTCTTGGAACTCTCTTTCTGTCTCTACAGACCTGTCCTGCCCTGTCCCGTATTAAAAAACAGAACAAAAAACAAACAAATAAGAAACGTTCAGGGCCTGCTCTAGGGCTGAGTGGCGCTTGTGTGGTGGAAGAACCCACCAGTGGTGAGGGTGGGGGGTGTCCACTTGCTCAGGCTCACCCTCTAGTCACCAGAATGAAGGTGGGCAAACAGTGGGTGCACCAATGACCAGATACTGAAAATAAAAACGAAATCAGAACAAAGCAAAACCTTTGCTCCAAGGTTCCCGTGGCGTTTTTCCATGGTGTTTCTCCTCCCCCCATTTGGTCTTGCCGGCCTCCAAGCCCAGTCCGGCAGATTCAAAAGTATGTGACTTTTTACTTTAGCTCCAATTTCTACAAGCTATAAGCCTTCTAACTTTAAAAATATTCCTATCTCTGTGGTTCCGAGTTTTGGAGCTCTGCCCTGGATCTGCTTTGCCTGGGATTCTGTGTTATTGCTGACTGCGAACTTCACTGCACCTCCACCCTAGCTGCCATCAAGCCCAGCCTCTCATTGTTTGATTTCTTGACTGCTTGCTTCCAGGAGTGTTGATAGTTGATCCAAGAAGAATCAATTTTCTTTTTTAATGATGTCCTTGCCTGGTTTTGGTATGAAGGTTATGCTTGCTTTGTAAAATGTACTTGGGAGTGTGTGTAAAATTGTTGTCAGCTCTTCTTTGAATGTTTGACAAAATTTACCAGTAAAGCCATCTGGCTTGGACTTTTTTTTATTGGGAGGTTTTTAATGATCTGATCAGTTTCTTAATTTGTTATGTCTTTCACGTTTTCTACTTTACTCTGTATTAATTTAAGTAGGATGACTTTTTCTAAAAATTTATCCATTTCTTCAAGATTTTCACATTTCTTTCTATTGTTTTTCTGTATTCTGATTTATGTATTCAGCTCTAATCTTTATCCTTTCTTTTCTTCTGGTGACTGTAGGCTGACTTGTCTGGTCTTTTTCTAATTGTTAGAGATGTTGTGTTGATGTGTTCATTTTAGTTCTTTATTCTTTTTTTTTGGAATTGTGTGTTAATTGCTATAAATTGCCCTCTATGCATTGCTTTTGCTGTGTCCCAAAGGTTTTGTTTTGTTATGTTTTCCTTTGATTCAAGTATTTTTTCAAATTTCATTTTTCATTTGTGGAAACACAGTTGAGTCCTGGTTTAGTGGCACTACAAGATAATGTACTGGGTCACAAGATCAGTTTGAAATCCTATGCAGGGTTGCTATGATTTGAAACTGACTCAACGGCACTTAACAACATTACTCGGTAGCTTTTTTTTTACTCAGTAGCTTTTAAGCAGGGTGTTATTCAGTTTCCATGTATCTGATTTTGTTTCCATAATCTTCCTATTGTTGATTTCTTATTTAATATTGTAAGCTAAGAAAATGGTTTGTAGTATTTTTTTGTAATGTTTTATTGTGAATTATATGGGAGAACATTAGTTTTACATTCATTCTATCGTAAATTGTTTCATTGCCATGGTTACAAGCCCCTCCATGCATCATCAACCAACCAAAGAGTATACCCTGCAAGCCTGCCCCCTACACTCCCCTCCCACCCCCCAGGCTTCAGCACACAGTCGCTCTCCCTCTCTGGATCTCAAGTCCCCAGATGCTCCACCGCTCCACGTCATCTGCCTCCATCTCAGGCATTGCTGCTTCTCTGGGTAGGGTCCCGCTCTCAGCTTTTCTCCGTTGATGGTCCTAGGGATCTCCGCTCCTAGACTGCAAAGTTAATCACTCCCTTCCTTGCTATAAAACGTCTACCTTTACATTTCCAATCCTCACAATCAGTCCTGATAACAATTATTCACTATTGTATCACAAGAGACCCATCTGCATTTCATTTCATCAGGTCCAATTAGACAAATTGGATACTACTCACTGGATATTCTGCCTTCTTCCAGGCCCCCTAGCTCTAGGTGGTTTGTAGCATTTTGATGTTTTAAAATTTATTGAAACTTGCTTTGTGGTCTTAATATTGTTTGTTCTGGAGAATGTTCTATGTGCACTAGAAAATAATGTGTACAGTGCTGTTGTTGGGTTGAGTACTCTGTATAAATCTATGAGATAAAGTTGATTGTGTTGTTTAGTTCCTCTGTGTCTTTGTTGAATTTCTTTCTGGTTGTTTTGTCCTTTTCAAAAGTGGTATATTAAAATCTCCCACTATTATTGTAGCGTTGTCTATTTTTTTCAATTCTAGTAGAGTTTGATTTATGTATTTTGGAGCTCTTTCATTGGGAGCATAGATATTTATTATGGTTATGGCCTCTTGTTCAATTGACCCTTTTTAATCATGAAACAATGTTCTTCTTTGCCTCTTATGCTGGTTTTTGCCTTAAAGTCTGTTTTATCAGAAATTAATATTGCCACTTCTGCTCATTTTTTTATTGCCATTAGCTTGATATTTTTTCCATCCCTTAATTTTTCATCTATGTTTGTCTTTGTGTGTAAGGTGTATCTTTTGTAGATAGCATATTGAAGGATCCTGTTTTCTCATTCATTCTGCTAGTCTATGTCTCTTGACTGGTGCATTCAATCTATTGATGTTCAGCATAATTATCACTAGGTGTGAATTGATTACAGTCATTTTTCTGTGTGTGTGTTTGTGTGTGTGTGGTGCTACTTGTTTCGTTGTTCTGCATGTTTTCCTGTACTGACTTAATTTTTTTGGTACTTTTTCTTGTGAATTTCTTCATAGTTTTAATGCTTACAAAATCTTCACGGATTTTCCTTTTCTTGATTTAATGTGAAAGTATATTAAGTTTCTTTGTGGTTACCCTATAAATTATTAATTTTGTCATAGGGTTCTTTTGGGGGTGACAAAAATATTCTAAAATTAGATTACGGTGATAGTTGCTCAACTCTGTGAATATGCATTCACAGGACTGTATGCTTTCAATGTGTGAACTTTATGGTATGTAAATTATATTTCAGTAAAGCAGCTTTTAAAAGATCCCTGCCCTCAAAGAGTTTATGTTACAGAAGGGATATAGAAACATTAAACAACAGAAGTCATTTCAGTCTATTAGTTGCTTAAAAGGAGCCCTGGTAGCATACTGGGCTACAGGTTAGCAGTTTTAATCTATCGGCCGCTCCATGGGAGAAAAATGAGGATTTCTGCACTAATAGAGATTTACAGCCTCAGAAACCCTAGACAGAGTTGCTATGAGTCATAACCGACACCACGGCACACAACCATCATCACTATTAGGTGATTGGAGTCCTGGTGTGGCGCTGTAGGATAAGCACTGGACTGCTAACCACATGGTTGGCAATTCAAACCCTCCAACTGCTCCTCAGAAACCCTATACAGGGTTACTATGAGTCAGACTGACTTAACAGCACTAAATAACATTCGGTGATTCACACACACCATTGTTGTTGTTGTTAGATGCCATCGAGTCAGTACTGACTCATAGTGACCTTATGCACAGCAGAATGAAACACTGCCTGATCCTAGACCAACATCACTATCATTGTTACGCTTGAGACCATTGATGCTGCCACTTTGCCAATCCATCTTGCTGGGGGTCTTCCTCTTTTTCTCTGACCTTCCACCTTACCAAACATGATATCCTTCTCCAGTGACTGGTCCCTCCTGACAATATGTCCGAAGTATGAGAGACATCCTGGCCTCCAAGGAACACTCTGGATGCACTTCTTCCAACACAGATCTGTTGGTCTTTTGGCAGCTCATGGCACTTTCAATATTCTCCTCCAACACCATAACTCAAAAGCAGCAATTCTTCTACAGTCTTCCTTATTCACTGTCCAGCTTTCACATGCATATGAGGTTATTGAAAATACCATGGCTTGGGTCAGGCACACCTTAGTCCTCAAGCTGACATCTTTGCTCTTCAACACTTTCAAAAGGTCTTGTGCAGCAGATTTGCCTAATGCAATACGTCATTTGATTTCTTGACAACTACTTCGGAACCAACTCCATGGTACTTAACAACAACAACAACAACAACAACAATAACTTCCATGAGTGTTGATAGTTGATCCAAGAAGATCACATGCACTAGGCACTGAATAATGTTTATTCAATGGCACTCACAGAGTATCTCACCAATCCTATCTGGTCCCTTAGCCATAGCCTTTCTTCTCTTTCCTCTTGCAGGAACTGTGGTACACATCTCTTCCCTGAGCTGTCTGCTGGGGACATGGACTAGGCACTTGGAGCCTTAACCCCCATGACACTCATATGGCTGAGGCACACTGTGGGATGGCTAGAAGCTGCCAGAGTACAAGGTGGTGGTTGTGGGCACAAGTAGTGTGGACAAGAGTGTGCTGACGATCCAGCTGCTCCACCAGTGCTTTGTGGAGGACCATGACCCCACTATCCAGGATTCCTACTGGAAGGAGTTGGCCCTGGGCTGCGAGGGCTGCATCCTGAATGTGCTAGACATAGCAGGGCAGGCTACCCTTCCTGACCAGTGTGTTGCTAACAGTGATGGTGTGTTGGGTGTCTTTGCCCTTGATGACCCCTCTTCTCTAACCCAGCTGCAGCAAATATGGGCCACCTGGGGCTCTCACTACACCCAGCTCCTTGTCCTGGTGGGCAAAAAGTGTGACCTTGTTACCACCACCAAGTTATAAAGGATGCCTTTTCTCTGCTTGTCCATGAGATCTAGAGGTTCCAAGAGGCCCTGTAAGGATCAGGTGTCCATAAAGCCCAGCACCAGAAATCCATGTGCCACCGTGGCTGCTCTGTGATTTGATGGGCTTGGTCAAGAAAAGTAGAACCTCCCCTGGCCAGGGCATTGATTCTTTTGTCATGAGATCCCTGAGCAACTTACTGCTGCATCAGAGATCTTCCTTGACTTGGGGAAGTTTTCATTTGTAGAGGAGCTTTTTGTTTACATGGAGTGCAGTGTTGATTATGTTATGTCAAGTTGAATGATGTTGTACAAAATTAAATACATGGGGTCCCCAGTTTCAAAGCTGCTTGCACACCAAGTGTTATTTGTGTAAGGGTGAAACTGGGTAGAATGTTGAATGTTACTTGGATTGTGAAAATTCTTTCAAATGAAGAGATTTGAAGGCCAGGTTCCAATTTGGGTGAGAGAGATGTAGAGATGAACAAGATATGTAGATATAGCTATGACCTTTTTTTGTGGGGTGAAGGAAAATATTTTAAAAATAGATATATAAAGTTGAATAGTGATATGGTTTAATAGTAAAATAAAGAGTGACAGGGATGCTTCTTAAGACCTGGAGGTCAGGGAAAGTCTTATTGAATAGGTGACACTGGAGCAACAACTTGTAGATATCTGTGTCCACCACACCAGCTCCTAATATCTTCAGGGCCTCTATAGTGTATAACTAACTAACTAGTTTTAAATTACAAATCAAGCTAACAGAAAAAAATTATCCTTTCCTCCTACCTTGATGAATGCTATTGTTGTTAAGGGTCATCCAGTTGATTTGATTCATTGAGACCCTGTATAGGGTTTCCAAAGAGTAACAACTTGTGATATCTGTGGTCAGAGGGAATAATAGCCGTGCAAAGGCTATGACACAAACCAGCTGTCCACCATACCAATTGGCAGGTTTGAATCATAGATCTTTTGGTTGGCACTCCAGTGCTTATCCTTCAGTGCCACACATCTTGACGGATATACCTTTTTAATGATCTGGACGCCCAGGTTCTAATTTCGGCTCCTCAGAGTTCCATGCCAGACTGTGACTTTGCTAAGAGGGCTAATCCCTGGCCTTCTGCCCATTTCCTTTCTCCTCCTGCCCCAGTGCCCTTCCCACATTCCAGGGTTCTCAGTATGCAATGGACAGCCAGCCAGAAAGGTCTAAGCTTCTAACTCTTATCAGAAATTAGGCATCACAATTAGCCGTTCGTTGACCACTCCTTGGCTCTCAGGAAGATGAATCCCTGGAAGACACTGCTCAAAACCTTTTGGGCACCATGGCCCCTGAGTGAGGTTCAGAATGTCACAGGATGCTCTGAGCACTGCTATTGTTTACATGGATCCCTTTCACAATAGTGTAGACCTAGCCTGGGGACATGTGGTATAAGGGAGTGTCTCTAAAGTGCAGGACCCAGGACCCTTCTACCCAAATCTAAAGGTAGTTACCACCACTCAGCTCATCAACTCCCTTGCCACTGCCATTCACACAGATGAGCACAAAGCTGCTTCATGTCATATTTATTGCGGGACCAGGTAGTGGGAATCCTGGGGTTAAAGGACAGCAAACAGCTAGCCAGGGGAGGTTACGCTCGATGTGCTGAAGAGTAGCAATCTGAGTGTCAGAGGCGTGGGCAGTGCTGGGTCAGAGGGCATGAAGGATTTCTACAGTGCTCAGGGCGGCAAGAGGCGGCGAACAGGTGCCTGGGGCGCAGGAGTCTCAAGGCGTTTCACTCGAAGGAGTGCCCCCAGCACGCCCTCAGGTGGCACCTCAGGGCCCAGATCCTGGTCAGTGGCCCTTCGGAGGCGGCGTGGGGCTGCCACTGTCTCGGGGTCCGGGTTTCCAGTAAGGAGCCGCCCCAGCAAGTACCTGCAATAGGAGTAGGGTGGAATGAAGCAAGGATATGTCAGCAAGTTCCTGCCCCATTCCCGTGACCCGGACCCGGCAGTCCGCCCACAACCCCATACTGCCTAGGACCCAGGCATCCCCAACCCACTGCTTCTAGGAGACAGAAGAACCTCGCCCCCCCCCTTCCATCCCAGAAACTCAACTGCCCCGCATCCCACTCCTACCCTCAGAAACGGCATCAGAGCACCCCTCTTCACTACCGGGAGTCGTCCCGCCCCCACCAACCAAGCAGCTCTGCTGCCATACCCTGGATTCTGGACCCCACTCCCTCCTGGGGTCCCAAGGCCTTCACTCCCTTCCCAGGACCAGATGCCTAGCCCTCTCCAGGACCAGTGCCTGCTCTGCTGCCTCATCCTCTTAGAACGCAGACATTCCCCTCTGCAGAGGTACCTCAGCAGCTCTGGGTCCACATCGGGAGTCTCATCGCCAGTGTCCTCAGTTTCGGGGCCGGTGGGGCCATCATCGTAGGCCGGGGGCCGGGTTCTGAGCACAGATGCTGGCACCGGGGCGAGCTGAGCTGCAAGAGCCACAGGATCCAAGCGGGCGCGGAACAGGGCACGTGCGAGCTGCGCTGCGGGTGCATCAGGGTCGTCGTCCAGGCCCAGACTTGGGTCTGAAGCACGGGGTGCACCCCAGAGGCGCAGCAGTTGAGCTAGGACTCGCGCTTGCTGATCCTCTGCTTCCTGTGCCTCAGCCCGCGCCCGCTCCTGCCGTTCAGCCTCCAGCAGGTGTGCCAGCGCCCGCGCCAGCTCCTGCATTGCCCCCGCGGCCTCTCCCCGGAGCACTGCTCGTCGAAACCGGCGGGGAGCGCCAGCTTCAGCCACAGGCGGCGAGGGTGCGCCCAGGCCACGGGACTCCTGCAGGAAAACGAGATGGGAGGAAAGATGTGTATTAGCGTCCATTCAGCCAGGGACCTTCAACCTAATGATGTCTGTGAACCTTGAATATTCCAGATGCCATAGGAAAGCACAGTGGACACTCCCCCTCCACACACAAGTATACTCAGCTACCTCTAAGACCACTCCCCAAACCCACTGTCTTCGAGTTGGTTCCGACTGGTTGAGAACCTGTAAGGACAGAGTACATTGCGTCTTAAGGGTTTCTGAGACTACATCTTTCCGGGAGCAGCCTCATCTTTCTCCTGCAGACGAGACCGATGGGTTTGAAACACCAACCTTGCAGTTAGCAGTCAAATGCTTATCCCACAGCACCACCAGGGCTCCTTCCTAAGGTCACTTGAGACCTCCAAATATCTCCAGAAACACTTAAGACCACCAAAACCCTCTAGAACCCCAGTGACTCACAGAACTTGCCCTGGGGACCCTGGGTACGGTAGTCAATCACTCCAACGGTTTTTATTGATCCCTCATGTCTCTCAGAAAAATCCCTATGACCTTTTAGTGACTCTTAGAGGCTTGGTGTGGCTCTGTGGGCTAATGTGTCAGACTGCAAAGTCCCTTGAACTGCAAGGTCAGTGGTTCAAGTTCACCAGTTGCTCCTTGGAAACCCTATACAGGGTCGCTATGGGTCAGAATTGACTCAACAGCACTTAACAACAACAACAACAAAGAGGCTTGCAGCATTGTCCCCCCCAAAAAAACAAAACAAAAAACAACAACAAAAAAAAAAACCCAAAATCCATTGCCATCAAGTCAATTCTGACTCATAGCAAGCCAGGTTCCTAGAAAGTCCAACTACCTCTGTGGAATCTCAGAACCCCACAAATCACTCAGACAGCTCCAGTGACCTCCTAGTGAGTCTCAGGAATAGTCTCAAATACCTCTGGAGAACATCAGACACCCAGTGGCCTCCAGTAAATCCCTGAGACCTCCCGAAGTTCCAATGACTTCCTAGTGACTCCTAGAGCTACTTTAGATTTCCTGAGACTTCTAGATATCCCAGATACCTCCTAGTGACCTTAATGACCACCAAGAGCCAGACCCTCAGACATCTGATGATGTTAATAACACACAAAAACCATAATACAGCAAGCCCAAACACATAATCAAGACTTGCAGGTATGTAGCTTTCACTTCTATCCATCTGAGGGATTACATTCCTGAATCCCTCCTGATCCAAAACTACTAAAAAATACTAGATTTGTTATTTTAAAATACATTTTTCCAAGGCACTGGGAAATATTGACTTCAACCCCAAAGCCAGCTCTAATGCTTAATGGAAAAGCACTAAAAGTATACCAATTTCCACTAAAGCCAGGAACAAGACAATGACAACCCCTATTAACTCTATTGGAGTCCTGGTGTGAATCTGTAGGATAAGTAGTGGACTGCTAACCGCAAGGTTGGTGGTTCAAATCTACCAGCCACTCATTGGAAACCATATACAGGGTCACTATGAATCAGAACTGACTCAATGGCACTTAACAACATGACCTCTATTATTTAATAGTGTTCTGCAAATAACTGAAAGCAATTAGATAAGAAAAAGAAGCTAGAAGTACAAAATTTGGAGAAGGAAAGAGGTAAAATTCCCACAGTTGTAAATAATGTAATTATATATTGGAAATCTTAAATAATCAACTGAAAAAATACTATGAACAATAATACAAAAAATTTTATTATGGAAAAGTATATTACATATTGGGGTACTGGTGTGGTGCTGTAGGATAAGTACTAGACTGCTAACCACAATGTCAATGGTTCAAACCACCAGCTACTCCTTGGAGACCCTATACAGGATTGCTATGAGTTGGAATTGACTTAACGGCACTTCACAACATGGTGGTGGTGGTTATGTGCCATGGAGTCAGTTCTGACTCATAGCGACCTGTACAGGGTTTCCAAGGCTGTAAATCTTTACGGGAGCAGACAGCCTCATCTTTCTCCTGCAGAAGAGCTGGTAGTTTCAAACATATTACATATTAATATAGAAAATACAAAGGAGTTTCAAATAGTTCATGGAAAAATTCCATTACCTTTTAATTTCATTTCCATGAACTTTTTGAAGCTCCCTTACATACAGACAAAATATATGTATTAATATGTTGCTATTCTCGTTGTTGTTAAATGCCATCAAGTTGGTTCCAACTCATAGCCACCCTATAGGATTTCCAAAGAGCGGCTGGTGGGTTTGAACCACTCATCTCATGGTTAGCAGTCAAGTACTTATCCTACCATGCCACACTAGTATTTCATATGCTAATATAGAAAATATATTAATAGTAAATTGTCTATAGTTGTGATACCTACTACTCCCACTCCATTTGTGCCTCTTTACAAACAAATGTAAATATAGCTTACTATTGTCTACTTGGTCAACCCCAAAGGGAGCAGATTATTTTGCTGTTTGCCTTTTGGAAATCTATGTATCTATATATTGAAAGTACCCTTTGTATGGATACACAAGAGTTTATTTAATTATTTCCAAATGGTAGATGCTTAGGGTGTTTCTAATCTTTTGTTATTCTTATAAAAATGTTTGAATGAATAACTTTGTTCATATATCATTTGGCATGTGTGTAAGTTTCTTTGTAGGATAAATTATCCAAAGATGAAATTTCAATTCAGACAATTTGGATACAATTTCAGTAAGTTTAAGGAAATAAAAGCATACACAAAATATAATTAAGAAACAAAAGACCACAAAAATAACCATGATGATTTAAAAAAGAAATACACAGACCATCTAGAAGTATACTCAAAATGAAATTAAAATCTCAATGGACATATTAAATAATAGATTTGACGCCGCTGAAGGAAGTAATAGAATTGAACAGAACTTAGAAATAGACATACACGTATTGAAACTGGATTGCTAACCAAGAGATCAGCAGTTCAAGCCCACCTATACAGGGTAGCTATGAGTCATAACTGACTCGACAGCACCTAATAACAACATCAATATGACAGAGGTAGCACTGCAGAGCAGTAAGGACAGTATGTTGTTGTTAGGTGCCATCCAGTTGGTACTGACTCATAGCGACCCTATACACATCAGAATTAAACACTGCCCAGTCCTGGGCCAACCTAACAATCGTTGCTACTCCTGAGCCCATTGCTGTCACTATTGTACCAATCCATCTCATTGGGAGTCATCCTCTTTTTCTCTAACCCTCCACTTTACCAAACCATGATATCTTTCTCCAGTGACTGATCCCGCCTGACGCTATGTCCAAAGTATGAGAGATGAAGTTTGGCCATCCTGGCTTCCAATGAGCACTCTGGCCATACTTCCTCCAACACAGATCTGTTTGCTCTTTTAGCAGTCCATGGTACTTTTAATATTTCCAACACCATAACTCAAATGAATCAATTCTTATACTGTCTTCCTTATTCACTGTCCAACTTTTGAATGCCTATGAGGTTATTGAAAATACCGTGGCTTGGGTCAGGCACACCTTAGTCCTCAAGCTGACATCTTTGCTCTTCAACACTTTAAAGAGGTCTTGTGCAGCAGATTTGCCTACTACAATACATCATTTGATTTCTTGACTGCTGCTTCCATAAGTGTTTATGGTTGATCCAAGCAAAATGAAGTCTTAGACAACTTCAATCTTTTCTCCATTGATATGGATGTTGTTTATTGGTCCAGTGGTGAGGATTTTGTTTTCCTTACATTGAGATGTAACCCATACCAAAGGGTGTAGTCTTTGATCTTCATCAGTAAGTATTTTAAGTTCTCTGTACTTTCAGCAAGCAAAGTTGTATCATCTGCATATCGCAATGAGTCTTCCACCAATCCTGATGCCATGTTTTCCTTCATGTAATCCAGCTTCTCAGATCATTTGCTCAGCATACAGATAGAATAAGTATGGGGAAAGAATACAACCCTGGCGCACACCTTTCTTAATTTTAAACCATTTGGTGTTCCCATGGTCTGTTCAAACAACTGCCTCTTGGTCTATGTACAGGTTCCTCATGAGCACAATTAAGTGTTCCAGAATACTCATACTTCGCAATGTTGTCCATAGCTTGTCATGATCTACACAATCGAAAGCCTTTGCGTAGTCTATAAAGCACAGGTATTCTCTGCTTTCAGCCAAGATCCATCTGATGTCAGCAATGATATCCCTAGTTCCATGTCCTCTTCTGAATCTGGCTTGAACCTCTGGACATTCTCAGTTGATGTATGACTACAGCCCTTTTTTGTATTACGTTTAGTAAAACTTTACTTGCATGGGATAGCAATGATATTGTCTGGTGATTTCCACATCCCGTTGGCTCCCCTATCTTTGGAATGGGCACAAATATGGGGTCACCTCTCTTTGGAATCAGCACCTTTCTTTGGAATGGGCACAAATACTGTCCTTATTTTTAAGGACAGTATGGAATCCCTCAATAAATAATGCAGGAATAACACGTTTTCCAAATTTGAGGGCAAGTGGAAAGAAAATCAGAAATAAATTTGACTACCGTAAAATTAAGAATTTCTTTTTATTTCATGACACCATAAAAAGAATGAAAAGTAAAATCACAGAGTGGGAGAAGATGCCCACAACATACACAAAAAATCAATATCCAGAATTTAGAAAGAATTCTTTAAAAACAACAGAAAAATAAACTAAATAAAAAAAATACATGTTCAAGTATTTAATAAAAATGGAAACAGAAATGGATAGTTAACATATGAAATATAATCAACATCATTCGTAGTAATCAGGGAAATGAAAATTATAACCTTGATGAGATCATATAAGATAACCCTGCATGTTGTTGCTGTTGTTAAGTGCCTTTGAGTCGGTTCCAACTCATAGCGACCCTGAATAGGGTTTCCAAGGAGCGGCTGGTGAGTTTGAACCACTGATCTTACAGTTCAAACCGACCTTGTGGTCCATCGATTTTGTAGTTCAAACCAACCTTGCACCACACCAAAAACTGGCAAACATTAAAAAAAAAAAAAAAGTGTGATACTGTCATCTGTTGACATAGATGTGTAAAAATGAGAATATTACTGGTGGGAATTAAATTGGCAAAATAACTTGAGAATCTATTTGGCAATGTCTAAAAAGATGCACAGAGTCTTGGTGAGGTGCTGTAGTAGTATAAGCACTATGGTATAAGTATAGGATCAAAACATTATTCAGAAATAATAATGAAAAAATGTACTACAGCTATGCACCTCAATATGGATGAATTTCACAACCAAGGTTAAGCAGAAAAAGGCGGGGCAAGTTGCGGAATTTCACTACTGACTCCCTGGGACTATGAGACATGGCAATGACTTCCTAATCACCTCTAGTGATTCCCTGGAGCCAGATTCCTGGTATGATTCCATTTCTAGTACATTCAAAAGCAGGATAACCTTCATGATAGATTTAGAGATATATAGGAGGGGGATTCAAAAAGTTTGTAGAAAAAAAATGAATGAAAAGATAATGGAATTTTTCCATGAAAATTTTGAAGCCCTGTCATGTATATGTGATAAGCTACAAATAAAAGACTAATGAGCAGAAAATACAGGATGATGATTATGGGGAGAGAGGGGATACTGTGGAGAGAGAAGGGTTGCTATGGAGAGGGCACACAGGGGATCTATTTCTTAGCTGGCTGGTATGTACATGGGGTGTATTTTATCATCATTCCTTACATCTTGCACATATGTTAAATACATTATATTATTTATATGTAATTTAATTTCTAAAAAAATTCCCCATCCTTGATGCAGAAAATCCCAAAAAGCCAGATGCCTTTGCTTGGCACCCACCATCCCTCAGCCCCCAGGGAATCACACACAAACAAGCAAACACAGCCTCACACATGCACATAGACTGGCAAGCTTTGACATGTGACATATGCAACTCAACACGGCAACATTCACATACAAGAAATTGCACACATTTAGCCCACACAGGTGCTCATGCAGTTACAAAAAAAAGCGCATGCACCACCCTTGAAAACACAATGCAGCACAGAGACATCATGGCTCCTTTCCCCACGGCGACAGCTCCACGAAGAAACAATGAGAAGCAGTTTTATGAATACACGTACAAAATCTACCTCAGGTACTCAGTCCAACAGAATCAAAATGGAATGTGTGTATGGCTATGAGAAGACCACTCCCTTCCAAGGGAAAAGGAAATCACACTGATTCTTAACCAGAAAGACACGCCCATACGTCACACCATCACACATAAGAATTCACAAAAGCACACACGGTATTCCTGAGAAAAAAATTATGCCCACAAAAAGTCACACAAAGAAGCAATACCACATCTCCATTGCCACACACACTAGCCACTCGGATGCACAATGGCATCTTCATAAGGACGCATGGAAGCGGTCACATGAAAGGACACACATTTACAAGGACACAACACTTCAGTACCCCTGTCATCATACCACGCACACACAGACTAATGCGCGCACACCTTCCATTAACGCGCTCAAGTCCCACAGAAAGCGCCACAGACGGCAGGGCCTGACCGAGGTGTAGAGGGATGGGCAGGGCGCGGCTGTTGACCAAGCCAACCAAGGCCACCACCACCCAAGGTAAAAAATATACTGCGGAGCCTGCTCTAGGCACGCCGGCAATGTACGGACGCGGACTGGAGGCTGGATCCAGGGCCAACCTTGCTGATCTGTCTGCATGCGCTAGGCGCTGCTCCAGCGATGTGAGGTAGGTGGTACCGACCCTAGCCCGCCAGCAGCATCCTCCTCCCTGCCCCCTCCCGCGCCAGGCTGGGGTCGCACCTTTATCGGCCTTGCGCCGAGCGCGGGGGGCGGCCTAAGTAGGCCCAACAGCAGCAACACCAGGAGGCCGACGCCCCCGGCCCGCGGCCCGCGAAGCAGCGGCGACCCCGCCATGCTGCCCCAACGAGCCGGGCTCCGGACGGGCGGACTGGCTGACAAATGCGCAGCACCTGGACTAGCCGACAAGGCTGCTGTCCTCTGCGGCTGCGCGCGCCCAGGAATGGTGCCCTCTCCTACCCATCCCCTCCAGCTACTCTACGCAGGCGCAGCCTGATATCACTGGCAGCCCCTCCATCCCGCTGGTCACCATGGAGATGCCCACAGGGCAAGGCGAAGAGCAGAAGCCCGCGAATGGCGGTCGCCATGGCAGTGGAGGGCAGTTGCTAGGGCAACAGACTTTGCTGTTTCTCTAGCAGCCAGACAGGAAATAATGATTCCAGGGGGTAGAATGGGAGGCCAACCCTCAGTTTTCCTTTCTTGGAGAGAAGACAAAGATTGCTCCCTTTATTCAATAAACAATTAAAGATCACGTACTGTATACCATGGAGTCCTGGTGTGGCACTGGACGGCAAGGTCAGTTTGAACCACAGGGTCGATGGTTCAAACTCACCAGCTGTTCCTCGGAACCCTATACAGGGTCGCTATGAGTCAGGATTGACTGGATGGTGCTTAATTAACAACAGCATCTGTGTACCATGCCTTTTACAGGGCAGTGAGTTTGAATTCAAGTGATGTTGCCATGGACAGGTCAGTTCCTCTTTCTAAGGTTCGGTCCCTCGTCTGCATAAAGGTTCCTAAGAACTGCCCCTCAGTGTGCTCTTGAAAAATTAATGAAAATGACATTTAGTAGGAGTTCAATAAACGCTACTTTCCATCTTCTTAACTCTTTGCCAGTATCTTTCTTGGCCTCTCTATGGTTCCCCATGTTTCTCTTTATGTCTATAGGTCTCTCTGTCATCCTCTTCCATTTGTCTCTCCCAATGTTTGACTCTTTCTCTCTCTTTGTCTTTCCAACTCCCCTTCCTGTTATTTGTCTGTATCTATTTGTTTCTTCATAGGTAGAGATTTTATCACTAACTTGTTCCATAAAGGATTTTAAAACACCTAAAATGATACATCAAAGGCAATAAAATGTTGGTTAAATGTAGGTGTATCCATTGGGGGGAAAATGCTGAGAAGGGAACCGTAGCAAGGTTTTTTATCTGGAAGGGGAGATGGTCTGTTACTTTCTCCTTTACACTTTTCGCTGTTGTCTGAAAAGAAAACGTTACAATATGTATGCATACTATTATAATCAGATAAAAAATGTTACAATGAGTATGCATTGTAATAAAAAGCATAAAGATATTTTCATTTTCTAATTAAAACAAAATATGGTAACGTGGCATCAATTAAAGGGAAGGAAAGAAAAATCCATCCAGTTTGTTGTGGATCTAGGTAGTCCATTGATTCTACTTCCTCAGTACTGCAAATAACTTTGCAATGAAAATCCGTATGCATCCCTTTATAGATGTGACGCCTTTATACCCAGGAATGGTGTAACAGACAGATTCTAAGGTGGCTTCCATGAATTCAGATTCCTGGTATTCATAACCTTGCCTAATATTCTCCCTGTGAATGTGTGCATGACCCAAGGTTATGTAATAACATGATTATGTTGAATAAGACCAAAAAAGCCATCTTGTGTGAAGACACTCCCTTCCTTGGTAGGTTTAATGAAAAAAAGTGGTCATTTTGTGGACCCTCGCGTAGCAAGGCTATATAACTCATCTGTCAGTTTGTTGTACTGTGGTGGCTTGTATGTTGCTGTGATGATGAAAGCTATGCCACAGGTATTTTAAATACCAGCAGGGTCACCCATAGGGGACAGGTTTAGCAGAGCTTCCAGACTAAGACAGAGTAGGAAGGCAAGGCAGACTACTTCTGAATGGTTATTTGTCGTTTAGTGCCATCGAGTCTGTTCTGACTCCTAGCGACCCTGTATAGGGTTTCTGAGGAGCTGCTGGTGAGTTTGAACTGCTGACCTTGCTTATCCTACAGTGTTATACCATGACTCTGAATGGTTAGCCACTGAACACCTTAGGAAAAGCAGCAAAAACACTGATACAGTGCTGGAAGATGAGCCCCTCAGGTTGAAAGGCACTCAAAATACGCCTAGGAAAGAGCTGCCTCTTCAAAGTAGAGTTGACTTTAATGACATGGATGGAGCAAAGCCTTCGGGACCTTCATTTGTTGACGGGGCACAACTCGAAATGAGAAGAGACACAGCTGCAAACATCCATTAATCAGAACGTGGAATATGAAGTATGAATCTAGGAAAATTGGAAATTGTCAAAAATGAAATGGAACACATAAACATGGATATCCTAGGCATTAGTGAGCTGAAAAGGACTGGTACTGGCAATTTTTAATTGTACAATTATATGGCTTACTATGCATTCATCATCAAAAAGAACATTTGAAATACAGTCCTATCTGTAATGAGATAATATCCATATGCCTACAAGGAATACCCCTGTTGTTCAAATTTACACACCAGACAATAATGCCAATGATGATAAAACTGAAGAATTCTACCAACTTCTTAAGTCTGAAATTGATCAAATATGCAATCAAGATGCAGTTGTTGGAATGCAAAAGTAGGAAACAGAGAGGAAGGATCAGCATTTGAAAAAATATTGTCTTGGTGATAGAAATGATGCTGGAGATCACATGGTAAAAATTTGCAAACCAATTAACTTGTTCATTGTAAATAACTTTTTTAAAATAATGGTGACTATACACGTTGTCTTAGACTGGGTTTTCTAGAGAAGCAAAACCAGTGAAACATATGTATGTATATACATAAAGAGAAGTTTATTATCTTTCAACTGTAGAGTCCCCAGTGGAAGCATGTCCATTACATTTGGAGCAGGCCACACATACAAGGAAGCATCCCTTCAGTTGGCTGGCTGGCTGCTCATAGCCACTCATCAACTATGCCTGTATTAGGTTTATCGCCATGGGAATAAGTGTATCCCAACTGCTAAACCTCTGGAAATCATGGCCTAGTTGAATTGACACAGAATCCTAACCATTAGACAAATGGACCTCACCAGATGGAATACACAGAAATCACATTGACTACTTCTGAGGGAAGAGACAATGGAGAAGCTCATCAGGCCATCAATTGCTCAGGCTGAAGTTGAAGAAATTAAAACTCCACAAGAGCAGGAATATGACCTTGAAAATATCCCACCTGAATTTAGAGACTCTCTCAAGAAAGGTGGAGCGGGCGGCCTCACCAATGGCTGCTGAGCCGGGGGAGCGCTCTTCTTAGCCTGCCAGCCTTGAAGCTAAACAATGGCCTCTGTCGGGCCGGCTGCTCCCCGGAAGCAGGCTCCTGGTGGGGGCAGAGGCTGAGCCGGACCCCGCGGGGTCACTGCCATCCCCTTTGGGACCCCTGCTCCCTCTGCAGCCGGAGCCAATGTACAAGTGGCAGGCGACAAAGCCGTCGCTGGTCGCTGAAGGAGCGCTTCGCTTTCCTCTTTCAACTCAGAACTGTTAAATGATGTGCGCTTCGCGCCTGGGCAAGGGTCCTGGAGCCGCCGCCACTGGGGGGTCTCAGCGCTTCGTGCTGGCGGTGGGCAGCGCTGTCTTCGACGCCATGTTCAACAGCGGCAAGGCCACCACGTCGGCGGAGATAGAGCGGCCAGCCGTGGAGCCCGCCGCCTTCTTGGCGCTGCTGAGATTTCTAGATTCAGACGCAGCTCAGATTGGTCCAGAAACAGTTATGACCACTCTTTATACTGCTAAAGAAATATGCTGTCCCCGCCTTAGAAGCACATTGTGTGGAATTTCTTACTAAATATCTTAGGGCAGACAATGCCTTTATGTTTCTTACTCAGGCTTGATTATTTGATGAACCTCAACTTGTTAGCCTCTGTCTAGACACAATAGACAAAATAAGTGCAGAAGAGGCCTACGCAGATGGTCCATCTTGAACTTTCTCAGGTGGTTGTGAAGGCAAAAGGCCAGTAGGTGGTGCAGAAGCTTACTGCATATTGCTGGAGAGAAAGAATAGCCAGGGTTTGTTTTAATTTTGTGGGTTTTTTTGTGTGTGTTCTTTCCTTCCCTTATCTCATTGCTATTTTTTTTTTTATTATTGTTGTTTTTTGGATTGTTTGTTTCTTTTTCTTGTTTCTTGTGGGTATGTTTTCACTTCTTGCCTCACCCAGCAGGAGACAGAAACTGCAGCCACACAGCACAGCCCCACCAACTGAGCTAGAGTCAATACCAGCTGCTACACACCGGATTAATGACAACAACCATCATCCACCTTGAGTGAACTGCATGAACATTGAAAAGAGAGTGGCACATAAGCTCATCTCTTGATTAAACCCATAAGGAGGCAGTTGGTGAGTGCATAAGAATACACCAACATACATCCGTCAACTTAACACAAATACAACAGCACCACAATGCCTTGAAAGCAGTAGAAAAGTTGGGTATACATGAAGAAATAAGGCAGAGTAGCTCAAACAAACAACCAAGAGACAGAAAAAGAAAATGTTTTTGGCAAAAAGAGGCACCGGCACTACCTGAAAAATAATTCAGAAGAATGATATTTAGGTACCTCCAAATGATTGACCCACCACTTGTCTGTCAGTTTGTCGTACTGTGGTGGCTTGTGAGTTGCTGTAATTCTGGAAGCTATGCCACCCGTATTTTAAATACCAGCAAGGTCACCCATGGTGGACAGGTTTCAGATGAGCTTCCAGAGGAAGACAGACTAGGAAGAAGGAGTGACATACTACTTCTGAATATTTAGTCACTGAAACCCTTATGAATAGCAGAGAAACACTGTCAGATATAGTGCCAGAAAATGAGCCCGTCAGGTTGGAAGGCGCTCAAAATGTGATTGGGGAAGAGCTGCCTCCTCAAAGTAGAGTTGACCGTGATGACGCGAACGGAGGAAAGCACGTGGGAGTAAAGCCCGGGACCTTCATATGTTGATGGGGCACAGCCCAAAATGAAGAGAAACAGCTGTAAGCATCCATTAATAATTGGAACATGGAATGTACCAAGTATGAATCGAGGAAAAATGGAAATTGTCAAAAATGGAATGGATCGTA